GATTGAAGTTTGTTTTCGAGGTAGGTGATGGTTTGATTTCATGTTTTGCGTGATGTATGTTGGTAATTGCTTCATTGTAATGCATGCATGTATGTGAATGAGGTCTTGTTGATCACACCTAATGTAATTGAGTATGAACGAGTAATTGTATTCCACGAATCCACACTTCATTGTATGATTATGAGAATGTACATTGCGATTGTGATTGTGGCTTGTTGAATGGATCAGATGTCATTTAATCCGACACACGAACTGGGATCGGATGTCACGTATCGACATACATATTGGATTGGGTGTCACGTTCTGACACACTAACTTGGATCGGGTGTCACATTTCAGTGCATATAAAGGATCGAGTGATACGTTCCGGCACACTAATAATTTGGATATGGGTTCCATGAGAGGACCATTGAATTGATTTTCATGAGAGAACCATTGATTTGTTATATCTACTTGTTATTGAGAATGTGGAATCATCCATTGCTCTTGAAATGATAATCGATGTGTATATATATTATATGCATGTATGTGTTTACCTTGTTGTAATTCTGATATATGTTGTGCTTACTGGGATAGCCGCGTGATCTTATCAGTACATTGTGGTTGTGTACTGATATTGTACTTGCTCTTTCATTGTTGAGTACAGGGCATCTTCAGGCGACTATTGACAGATCTCGTTTAGGAGATCAGTGATCAAGATCGGATTCAAGGGTGAGCCAGTTCTTTCAGGCTACCATGGAGTCCTTATTGTATAGTCCATTCTGTTCGAACTTAGATGTTGTTTAGATATTTCTTATGTTAGTTGGGGTTGTACCCCTTTTCTTAGACTTTTTAGTTAATCAGAGTTTTGGTACAATGACTTTCAGGTTTTGGGGGTTGAATTTCCTCATTAGTTATGTTTCGTTGTTTTAGTTGAACCCTTAGAGTTTATGAGGACTCCATTTTTATCGTCATTTAAACTTGCTTTCATATTTTTAAATGCCTAGTTTTTCGTTAAGTTGTTTAGTCGAGTTGTAGTAATGGTTCTCCCACCGAAGGAATAGTGTAGGTGCCAATCATGACGGTTTGGATCGTGACAAAACAACTAATCATATTAGTTAGAGGAAGCATAATCAATTGACTTTAAAATTGCAATTCAAACTAGGAATTTGCTCTCGAACTTGGCTATATATATGAGATAAATTGGTTATTAGGCGCACAAATACGCCTAAGATCAGTAAGCACAATGGACAATTCACTAACATCCCACTTATCCTTAATAGTGTTATAGTTCATTTGGAATGGTCCATACTCAAGAGGCAATGAGTTCAGAATAAAGTGAACCAAGAAGATGCCATCCACTTTCATCCCCAAGGTTGAACGTCTTGATGCAATGTTAGTCATCTCGATATTATGATTTTGCATACTATACGACCCATCAAACTTCAAGGTCGTGAGTTCAACCATTAGTGTACCAGTGAGAGACTAATCAGCAGAATGAAAATGTTCTTCCGCAAACTTCAGGTATCCCCTCACACTTTTTGTTTGTGGAATAGTACTCTAAATGTTGTTAGCAACAAGCATTCACATGAACATAAGACTTAATCTGTTAGAGCGCTCCCATGATTTATGAAAAGACTTCGCATCCTCACTGCTTTTATCAGTAATGGCAGCAGGTTTGTCATTCAACAGAGCCAAGTCAAGATCCATCACACCTAAGTGGAACTGGACTTGTTCATGCCATTAAGAGAAGTTCAATCCATTGAGCATGCGAATGAAGAGGAATAGCTTCAATAGAGATATACATGCTCAATAATCAAAAAATAATGTGAATTCAGTAAAACGATAAAAGTATATCGTAGTTCTACTTTGGGTAGATACTACGACATACTATCATAATTTAAATGTCTTATTTTTTTTCTTATCTTTAATAGGCAATTAGATATTTTTAACCATATATATACGACATCTTTGGATATACAATATATGTTTGATTGAAAGTATTAATTTACCTCATAATGTTCACTATTCGTAGAATGATTGAATCACCTTTGGGTAGATTCTTAAGTTCTAGCAATAGTGAAAGTTAATTTATCTATTTATTTTCAATATAGGAATTTCATTAACTTTCATATATAAACGATAATTTTATGAATGCATATTTTTTTAACCATACTAGTTTGACCACTTTGGCAACTAACAAACTATATAAATACAAATGCACACATAATATCATAAATTTTGTGCATGAGAATTTTTTTATACATTTTAGTTTGACCACTTTGGTGACTAACAAACTATAGAAACATAATACTTGTATCAAGTGATCATAAATATTATATGTGTAGACGCTAATTTCTCTAATTTGACCACATTGGTGACTAACAAATTATTTTGCACTAAGTACACACATATTATTTATTGCTTAGTATAACGACCAATTTAATTTATTGCACAAAAGGAAACATAATTATTGCATTATGGAAAAAATTATTTAAGATTTTTTGAATTTGTGCAAATTAAACTTTGCTAACAACTCTTGATTAACTTAAGAGTCCAAACACCTTAAATAGGGAAGCACAAAATTACGCTACTACAAAAGGATTCAACAATAAGTTTGAACATAACTTGATTGGACAAAATTAAACTTAGAAGGATTTTTTTTATATAAAAATATTCATGGTTCTCACGTTATTTGCCTTCATCCAGATTCGTCTACTTGACAACATTCTTGTTCAAAATCACTAAATAAATAATTAGTTACCTATGTATTATGTTCAATTTGTATTGAACATCCACAATTTGAAGATAATGTAATGTAGTTCACATAATTCATACATACATCGCTACATAATTTCTGGTGCAGTTACATAATTTATGACACAAACAATTTATTCAAGCGCTACACTTACGACGAATACATAATTTTTGATTGGGCAAAAATAGTAGACTATATCAGTGACAATTTTTTTCTACTTATTTTAATTAGTTGCAGAAGATATACAAAGATTGTCCGTTCAAACAGTCCAGGCTCGAATGTCACATGTAAGATTTAAATACTTTAATACACATCAGGATCTTGAACACGATAATCTTACATAGAGATCATTAGGGGCACATACCTAATGAGAAAAGACATCATCACAGAGAAAAACAGAAGCGTTAGTCATAAATTGGTTTCTACCTTCTTGTCCTAGCCTTACGTTACCATAACCGTCAGTGATGAAAATAATGTAGAAAATATGTGGTAACCCTAATGGGTGGAGGGAGGACCAATTTATAGAGGTTATGACTTAATCTGGTACGTCCATCAAGTAATCGATGTACGTACAAGATCTATTCTTCATTAAATATTATTTATGGTATTACTTGGATTACAAGTAAACTTGGGCCATAAGTAAGAATTATTCTTACATCTTTTTCCTACAAAATAAAATTTGCACTATAGAAAAAATGAAGAAATTTGCTGAAGATGTTGCAAACTATTTAGTTTTTAATGTTTTCGAAGGTTCCTTATTAAACCTTAATAACCATCTAATTAAATAATTAATTAATTATGGAAAACAAAAGAGTAAATTTTAGGTTTAGCAAACATAAAAATCATATTTGTATGCTATATCTATAGTTTGTATAATTGTGCTCCATAACAAACTTTATGTTTGCTATGGCTATTAATCTGTCTATTTCCGTATACATATACATAAAAATCTGTATTTGTATATTTCGGCATACAAACTAAAACATAGTAATTGTATATAAAAAAAATTACTACATATATACAACACATATGTTTACCGAATGGGTCTATTTGTATATTTCGGTATACAGATGGGTCCTGCAATTAATTTTTATACAACACATATGTATACTGAATGGGTCTATTTGTATATTTTGGTATACAAATGAGTCCTGCAATTAATTTTTATACAACACATATGTATACCGAATGAGTCTATTTGTATATTTCGGTATACAAATGAGATGACCAAAAATATGGAATGTTTGTTGCGAATTACAAATAAAAGAAACTATGGCTATAACATTTAATTTGAATTAATAGTTTGTTATTTCATACAATTTTCCCAAAACAAAAGGCATATGTAACTGATATGAATTAAATGACTTTATTTTTAGTATATATAGTTATACATTTGTAGCATGCATCATTTCTTCAAGTCTGAGCCACTCTTTAACGAGAGAAATATAACCGGAAGCCTTAGTATCAACGTTGCCACCATCCGTGCCATAAACTGTACATTCACGGGTGTCAAAATGAGCTCATATATATGTACTTGTTCAATCCGTCCAAAAATTTTTGAGTTGGGGGACTTAAGATAATTTGAGTTGGCTCAATATCAATCTATTCAAGACTTGACTCATTTTAAAAAAGTCTTCAATTGAGCTCAAATTAGTCTCCAATTTCAAACGGTCTTTAAAATTCTTTATTTGTAAATTTCGGCGGGTGATGGCCCAACCTAATTTCTATTTCAATCCATTTTAATATCTTCAAATTCAACACAACCTGCTCATTTGACCCCCTACATTATCGAAGGACAAGACAAAAATTATTGTCATGAAGCCCCCCTGCTTACTGCTTCTTTCAAACTGCATGATTGGAGTACTAATTTTCTAGATCAAGAAACTAAATGAATTATTGATATTGAGGATGATAATGCCCACATAATCTAGCAGACCATCAATGAGTTATTTAAATCAAGAAAGTAAATGAAAACTAAGTTGGTAAATGATGAATGTACCTTAGACCCTAGAAGGCCTCTTCTATATAAGATTACAAATGAACATTATATTATTCAAACTAAGGCATAGTCCAAAGTGTTCTGTTTTTTTTTTTCAAATAGAAGTGAATCCCTATTGTTGATGGTTTTGTGGTCCCCTTGTCTATAATTTTCAGTGATAATGATGGTTTTTATTGATTTCCCAGAAAGCTGGAATATTTGTTTTCATTAAGAAATTTTTGAATATTTTTTCGGGATAGGATGCAAAATTCAGAGAATAAAGAAGAGAGGAGAGAATCGTCATAATGAAGGGAAAATATAGAAAAGTTAAGTGATATATCACACAAACATTCGACTCTAATTAGAAGCTAAACATTCTGAAATGGAATACCATTTGGTTGGATGGATTCAAGATTAACGGAATATCCTTGATGTTAAAAGTTTAGTCCCACATAAAGGCTAGTGTTTGCTGAGAGCCACCACTTGTAGATGATCCATCTTGTGCATTTTGCAACATATCATGGAAATGGAGAGGGCTGCTGCTGTTGCTAACATGTGAATCTTGAGGTTTGCTATTGAAATCTTGAGCAAAAGGGAAATGGCTTAGACCATCATACTGCAGGCCCTGTGACTGGGAACGCGGGATAGAGGCAGGCTGCTGCACCATGTGACTCAAACCAATCTCCCTAGTTACAGCGGGTGCTGATGACAGAAGAGAGAGAGCACGATCAGAATCAACAATATCATTTAATCCACTGGAGAAGATCTTTTGTCCGCTGCTAGAAATTCCTGCTGCAGAAGTGGGATGTTCAAAAAGTGGCTGGCAGATTGAAGAAGATTCAGTCAGACTATGATCACTGCCTTGCATGAACTGGAATTGGCTTCCTCCTGTATAGCTATGACCCGAAGAATCAGGGAACGAGTTTTGACTGTCCATACCATTCATATGTGATTGGTTGTTGTATAATACCATATCACTGTCTGTTTTGACAACGCCAGCCCATGCAGAGCTCACAACTGCACTTGGAAATATTTGTTGACTGCTAAATGACAGGAGTTCCGATCCTACAATGATTCAGCCTTTTGATCATACCATCATTTGAATAAACATACAAATATAATAACGGTATCCAATTCTAAGAATAAGGTGGAAATGCATTCATGTTTCATTTTTTATTACTATTATATAAACAAATGACCCTAACCTTGTTGGCCAAAAAGTAATCCAGAATTTTTTGCCATAGAATCTGGCTGAGGCTTCCTTCGACGCCTGTTATGTCCATCAAGACGTTTCCGACAGCTTCTCTTTCCGTCATCAAATTCTACCAATGAATGAAACCTACAAAAGGATCCGATCAGAACGAGACAATGCTGCAACATAAATTTATTGGGGATGGGACAACTGCAGAAACCTTATAGTCAAAGCTTCCATTATCTAAGCTACTATCTGAAAAATAAACAAGCAGACAATCATTTAGGACAGGACTAACTAGCAACTTCTATTCTAAATTGCTGATAAAGCAGAAGATTTCTTCTAGGTATCATTACATTATAAAGGGAAAAATTCTGACTCTTAGAATTGAATGCAATGCATCAAACACCAATACTCCTCTACATGCCAGAACTCGTTAATCTGAGCTTCACGTTGGCAGAAAGAAATGGAGACAAGTGAATTCTAACTAAGAATTAAGATCATGATCTATTATAATAGGTTTAATCCTTGCACTAAAATTTTAGCTCACTTTCTCGATTACCTTCTATGCCAATCTAGACACCTCTCTAATTACAATCTTCCGAACTATCTGGTGGACCAAGGGTCAAGAACAAAGTCACAAGTCTAACTTTGGGAGAAAGAAGAACGTCGTTATTCTATACAGGCATAAATAAATGCACTTGACTCTGCTAATTTACGCTTCTTCCGAGGATTGAACATCTTAGTTTGCTCATTTTCTAGCCTTTACAAGGAATTCCAACATTTAAACGGAACAAACCTTGTCACCAACTCTATTACATCAAAATTGTTTACTAGCTTGGAACTTAACGTTAATTAACATAGCTTGGAAAGCATAGGAACTAAGGGAAGAGCAACATGCCACCAGATTGTCATACTATCCATTCAAGTTTCAGTTAACCTTCCTAATTAATGTGCCTTCCAAATATTGAACAACTAGACATTTTCCCTTACACAGAGAAATTCCAATTTTTAACCGAACAATTGTCTCCAACGCAATGAACATGGAGTAAACAGAACCTGCCTTTCATGACTGCTTGATTCCTTACTTGATCCACGGTATCACTTGTTTGAATGCATTAGGGCATAGGCGGCGCCAGAATTAGGAGTTCTAGCGTGGAAAGCATTTCCACGGCTCCTTTTGACTTAGGGGTGAACAAGTTAATATACACATATATTTATTTAATATTCTTATACAAATACAGGGTGTACAAAAAGTTACTGGGTTAATCCAAACCCCCTAAGATGACAACAAAATGAGTCAGAGAAGAAGAGGCATTACCTGCTGCATTGCTGACAGAAGCGTTGGTCTCGACCTGCAATGGTGACTTTGGCAGTCTTTGAATGCACCTCACAAACTTTATGCCGGCGATGATACTCTCTGCATTCACTGAGGTCTGCATTACACCCATCAACCAAGCAATGAACTATATTCCCTGGTGCCTTGGCCCTCTTTGATGATGATGATGATGATGATGATTCCATCACACAATTCAATTTTTGCCTCTAAATTCTTGACCTGAGTTAACAACAACGTCACAAAATGTGAAGGAAAGTTACAATTTAGCTTTTAGTCCGCCCCAAGATCTTAATCACCTCATTTTCATGCTCATCTATCCACCTAGCTACTCCAAGATTTTCATCACATCAAATCCAATAAAACAAAATCGAAACATTTAACAAGATCCAACCAACCATACCTCAGTTTTCAACACAAAATGTAAAAGATGTGCAGATTATGTACCTCAAAATCAAAACTACTGACAAACCATTTTCACTAATGATAAACAAAACAAGAAAATGACCAAGTTTGCAAAAAGGAGGAACATGTAGGTAAAATTCTCAATAACAATACGTGTCAAAATAGGGAATTAAGAGAATCTTGAAAAGTTATCTCAGATATATATAAATTAAGCCACACTCTTAACACAATAATGTAGATGTTTTCAAACTTTAATCATACGGAGTATTATTATAAATAAATTAATCTACTGTCGGCTGAAGTCTAATGATTGAATAACCTTCCAAATTAAAGTAACTCATCAGCTGGACCAACCAAAATCCATAAAGGGAAAATAAAAGTGCCAACTGAAATACACCACAAAGAAAAGCAAAATCCAATAAAATTCACTACAATGTCAAGAAACAAGTGTAAATTTAGTTAGAAGAAGAGGAAGGTTATAAAAAGCTACAGTGTAAAGGAACAATTTTTAGGGGAAAAAGATACTTAACTGTACTTAAGTTTCAAAAACACAGTAGAGATTCTTGCAAAGACAGAACAGAAAAAGATAAAAGGAAAAAGGGTGACAGTTTCTTTTTCTTTTATCTGTAATTTGACTGTATAATGTACCCCTTTCTTGGTTATAAGATGAAACTAGTCTTTTGGATGGAGTAAGAATCAATAATACTTGCTAGTTATAATTAAAGACCCATTCTTTTGAAAAAAAGCAGAGACAAGTGTAAAGGAAGAAGTCTGACTTATTCTTTACAGCCATTCATTCACTGACAAAGACTCCATCATAGACCAGTAAAGTGGCAACTGACAAAAGATATGTAAAAATAGTGTCTTGTGACTTGTTACTCAGAAACAATGGTATGTGGTCTCTGATTAATGGGTAAAAAAAAGGGACTTAATAGTATAGGGGTAGGGATGAAAAATACTCACCAAACTTGAAAAGAGTGAGGATACAAGGAATTGAACTTCTATGTGAGAGTTGGAAAGAGTTAAAAGATTGCATCACTTTTTAGGTTAATAGCCAATAGGCATAGGCGCATAGCTTTATTGGGTTGCTTGGTTGGGTACACGTTATTTTAAAATAAATTATTTTATCATATATATGATAACTTATTCCATTACTATACCAAAAATAATGGGATAACTAATTTAATGACTACCTTATATATATACCTATAATAAAACATGGGATAAAATAATTCTATATTTTATTCTGAAATTATTATTACTTATACCTCACACCAAACAAATCTAAGGATTAGTTTGTTAACTAGTTACAATTATTCATGTATTAGTTACGTTAGTATTAGTTATTTCATTTTCTTAATTATCATAAGATGATAGATCACATATTTTTTTATAACCCATATATTATTTGTTATGTGAGTTTTTAAGTTGCAAATTATATATAAATAACTTACTTCCTAATTAACTATCAAAATTTAAATTCCCTCCGTTCCTATTTAGTTGTCACCATTTCACGCTCCTAAGAAACTAGGTGAATTTATCATTATAGCCTTATGTAGTGTTTTTTTGAAGTCAAGTTTCCAATAAATGAACATAAATTAACTTATTTTGATTAATTAATAAATTATTAAGACTAATAATTCTTAAGAATACATTAAGAAAAATAGTGTCATTTATGTATCGATTATGTGAAGTGACAAGTATTAAAGAGTTCTCCCTCTGCCTCAATTTATGTGACTTACTTTCCTTTTTAGTTAGTTCTAAAAATAATGACATATTTCTACAATTTATCTTTAAAATGTCTATTTTATCCTTAATGAAATGATTTTTAGCCACACAAATTTTAGAACTTTTTTTTCTTTCTTAAATTTTGTGCCAAATCAAACTAGCTCACATAAAATGAGATGGAGGGAATATAATTTATTGAGAAGTAAATAGATGAATGATTAGTAAGTATTTAAATATATTTTGAAAAGTAAAAGTCAAAGATGAAAGAAAGACCAATAAACGAGTGGCTAGGAAAGGGACAAGGAGGCACGTAGCTTTCAAGTTTTATTACTAGTATATATTGTCTGTGTTTTGTGCGTGTGATAATTGAGAATGAGAGATAAAAGCGCCAAAAACAAACTAAGAAAAAGGTTGGTCTTTTCAGTTCCCAAGTCTTTGTCTGTTCCCTCTATCCCTTGCCGCGGTTTAATTCTACTCCATCCAAAACACTTCTATTGGACCACTTTTATTTTCCACCATTTTAAATTTGATATAGTAGAATCTATCCAAGTCTTCTTAAATTCATAGTTTTAATTTATGTCTTGTGAAAAAATTGAAATTGAAATTTATTTTTTTTAAATTAAATTGAAAAGAAAATCAAGACTTAATTAATGATACCATACAAATAATATTAAAATAATCAAAAAGTAAAATAGAAAGATGAATAGTAAATATATATAATGATATATTATTAGATTTTTTATATATATATTGAGGGCTAAATATAGGGACATGAAAAAAACATAAAGGACAAAACTTCTAAACATTGCATATTATTTTAGAAATTACCATCTACCTCGACGCGATTGTTGTTGTTTATGTGTACCTGTTCCACACATGGTTGGTACGTGTGACCTTGTTGTTCTTTGAGGGTTGTTAATATCCTGCAAAATTAAATAACAAGGCCACACGTACCAACCATGTGTGGAACGAGTACACATAAACCACAACAACTGTGTTGAGACAGGCGATAATCTCTAAAACAATATGCAATGTGTAGAAGTTTTTTCCTTTATGTCCCTATTTTTGTCCTCAATATTTATATTAAAAAACTATTAAACTTGACCGGACCACTTACATTTTTATTTACATATTAATAGTGAAAATATAAAAAATAAACACGAAAACACAACAATAAACGATTGAATAAATAATGAAGAACAAATACTAATTTTTATTTTAAAAAACGCCCTTTTTTTAAAAGCCCATGTCAAATATGAGCCTTGTAAGGCTCATGCAAATATGAGTCTTGTATATACAATTTAACCTCGTCTGCCCCTCCATCCAAATGTTACTCTTTTGATTTCATACTCAATTATTGTTGTCCTTTTAAAAAATTTGCTCTATTTTTAGCCTTTTTTGGCTCCGAACTCCTCTCCTAATTACTACAATCCCTCTTTGATTATTTTTTTTTATAAAAAAATTATCACATGACACTCTAAATAGACAAAACATTCCATCTTGACAAAAAATAAAGGGATAAGACACAAGTATTCCCTAGACTATGACCGAAATTCCAGAGATACACCTAAACTTAACTAGGGTCCTAGTTAAGTTTAGGTGTGACTCTGAGATTTCGATCATAGTCTAGGGAGGGGGAGGGGGAGGGGGGGGGACTGTACTTGTGCCTTATCCCAAAAATAAATAAATTATTAGAATTAGTTAAAAATTAAAGATAAAAGTTTCACTATCCCCAAAATAAATAAATAGTTTTTTTTGTAAAAAAAAAGATCAAAGATAATTAAAATATTTTTCTTATCCCACTCCACCACCTCCTCCCACCGTACCCCCGACCCCCCCCCCCCCCCCCACCAAATATTTTTCTTAATTTTTTATATTTCTTCTATAAAGTTTTTTTTTTAAGAAAAAAAACATCTTACTTCATCCCCTCTTCCCCCAAACCCTCCCTCCCCTCCCTCCAAAAAAAAATTTTGATAATATTTTTATTTTTTTCAGAAAATTCCTACCCTAATTCACCTAACTCTCCGCTCCCAATTTTTTAAATCTCATATTGTGTTAGAGATATACATATGTTTTTAAGAAAGTATTTCTACTTGTCGCAAGATTTTTTAAAAATAAAATTTAATTTCTATTAAATTCAGTATGCAAGTAGGAAAAAATTGTCACGAACCCATTTCTCAGGTCATGATGACACCTACTACACCCCACCAGTTGGTAAGCCTAACCCTTAACCCCAACCCGCAAGCAACATGCTATTAAGCGGAAGATAATCAAAAAGAGGCAATAAGCTAATAACAATGCAAATAAAGAGAGATCAATTGAAATAATACAAGAAATCATCCCCAAGACTTGACATCAGTCAGTAATAGATGTCACGACCCGAGCTTACACCCTGGATGTGGCCGACACTCAAGAACCATTGCTGGTCCCCAAGCAAACCCTCATCCTGGCTGACTACAAGCGGAAGACTAACTCAAGCATACATAAGCATTAAATTGAAAGAAATTCATTGACATGAAATACTCAACTTAAAAAGTCTGAACAATACTCAAAAGAAAGTAAATACAAAAAAAGTCCTCAATTCTGTCTATCTATGAAGCCTCTACTATTACAAAAGGATATTGAAACAAAACCCATGACATCTCCAAACTACTATAAGGTAAAGGTGAAGTCCTCTGGAATACTAGAAGGCTCACCAAAGCTGACTGGAAGGTCAAATGATCTCAACGAAACACCTGCTGATGATCTTGAGTACCTGTATTTAATTTATGAAACGATGCACGCTAAATGGCGTCAACACATTGAATGTACAAGCATGTAAGGGGAACCACTAAAACATAACATACAACTTGAACTGATAGAAAGGAAACATACTCACCTCGTCCCAACTCAACTCAACTCAACTCAAGAATACTCAACTCAATATGAAAGCAACAATAGATATACATGAAACTTTTTAAACAGTAGATAATAACTCGAATGTATATGGAAATACAATAATAACTCTTTACTCTTACTTGGGAGATTCTCTAACTGATAACCATCACTATGAGCTATGTGATGATACAACAGCTCGCTCACGCTACCAGAACTGTCCTATAGTGTAACACCCTGTAGTTTAGTAGGCAAACTAGGGATAAGCATGAGGGCATCAAGAGCCAAGGCAAAGGGGCAAGGGCCAAGGCTTCCCCACTTCACGACCACCACCACGGCTCGTGGTCGCTAAGGAAGTAGCCCCTATAAAGCTGCCTCAAAATGGCTCACCTTCACGAGCCACTTCACGGCCCGTGGTGAAGACCACAGCTCGTGGGAAGGCCAGTGAAGGTTCCTTAGAGTTTTGGAGGCCAAGACATCATGGCCTAGGCACTTACCAAGGACCACGGGCAGGACCATGGCTCGTGGAGCCAGCCGTGGTGCCTGAGAGTAGGCTTCCTAGTGAGGGCTAAATTGGGAAATTCATTTTTAAGTTAGATTTAAGTGAGGTCATTTTTCCTAGACTTAGTACACCTATATAAGCTATTTTAACCCTTTAACCTTCCCAATTAGGTCATTAATTCCAAAACCCCAAAAGAATCCCAAAGTTCATCCTCTCAAATATTTCTCTCTCTAGAACTTGAAGAAGAAGATAGAGTTTGAAGCTAGGTCAAGATCAAGGCACCAAATCTCCAAGATTTTGAGGGCATTGTGATCAAGGTATGATAGCTCTTCATCCATGGGCTTCTTTCATCCATGGAGTCCCCTAGTTTTCCCCAATTGTGAAGATGAAATCCCCAATTTTAGTTAGGGTTTCTTCCAATATTATGGGTATTGTTATATATTGATCCAATTGAGTGGATATTGATTGTTTATGATTGAATTAGTAGTAAATCATGTTATTATGATGAAATTACATGTTTACATTCCTAACCCATGTCTTGAAAGATGAAATTGAAGTATGTGGGTTTTGTGCCTTGAAAGGGGAGATTGAGGATTTAGAGATAATCTTCTAGGATTGATGATATGTATAGTAGATTGTTTGAGATTAGGGCATATAGATATGAATTGAATGAGGTTAAAGTATACATGATGATATATGATTTGTATTGATTGAGATTGGGGCTATATGATGAATTATGACTAGAATTGTTTAAGAGTAAAACATATATGAGAAATTATGATTAGACTTGTCTTAAAAGTTAGGCATGTATGAT